GCTTGATTGTGAAGACTTGGAAAAGGCTTGCATTCCTGTACACCAATTTTGCTCATTTTGAACACCAGTTTACAAAATCCATATAACAGTCAAGGAAGGAAGGAACAATAATACCCTTTTTTGTTCCTACAACTGTCAGATTGGGGAAAAATAGAAATTTCTGGCAAATTATGTATAACTTTATCTGAATTGAGCACAACTGTGTTTTGTCTTTGTCCCAAATGAAGGACCAGAAGGATGGACTGCACAGTGGAGTGTGGGGCTATTGGTGGCCCCATGACAGTAGTAACTAAAACCTTGGTGCCATCTCATTGCTGCTTGTTTTAATTTTTTTTTTGAAACCTGGGCAAACCAGGTTTGTTTCTAGCAATCTGAGACCATGTTTTAAATTATACCGAGACATATTAGCTACAATAGTTTGAAGATAATGAAATATTCAAAGATAAATGAAGCTTTTTTTGATTTTTGGGGAAAGAGGGTTTCCACTTAATAGTCTCTGAAGATCTTTCCAAAGAACTGCTTCCATAGAAATATGTAATTCAAATATGTTTGATGTTGAAAGAGAGATAACAAGGTGTAGAGCTGGATGAACACAGCAGGCCAAGCAGCATCAGAGGAGCAGGAAGGCTGACGTTTCGGGCCTAGACCCTTCTTCAGAAAACATATTTGATGTTGAAGATTGTTTGGACTGTTTCAGTCTTAATATAGGGCCATGTGAAATGGCCTTTGCATATTCTGATATGCTTATTGACTTTGCTGATCTTTTGTGCTTATATAATATCTTGGTTTAATTAAATTCCTTTCTCTTCTTTTGGATTTGTTAAAGAATAATGGAGTGGAATAAATAGTGTATTCAGGGAAATTTCACTAATGCCATTTTTTTCGAAACACAGCTTTTATAACCATAAGGCATGACATTTTTAATTCTAAAAATTGCAGTTGTTAGATTTTGTGACTGAAACTTTTCTCCCCCTCCCTCACTATTTCTACCTCACCTAAACTTTTAGCTTAAAGTATCCAAGCTTGCCAGGTGTGTAGCCTTGTACTTTCCCTCAATCTGCCCATCTATGAAAACTAGTGCATTCCCCTCCCTCTTCAGTTCCAGTGTTTCCCTGCACAAGTATCTGTGCTTCGTGGTAAAGGGGCTGCTGAGAATTATTCAGATGGATTTAAGTTTCAGGTGATGGATGTGTGGCCGGGACTGGTAAGGCAGTGTTAGTGTTTGCACTATAATTAAACAATGAGTCATACCATTAACTGGACATGTGAAATATTTTTGACCTTGTGGTAAAAGTGAATTAAAACTAACCTGAATGTGTGCACTTGTTGAGTTTTATTGCCAGTTGACTGAGGGTATGACTACTTCTGGGCAAACAAATTTTTCACTGATTTTAAAATCACTGGCACCATCCATTTATTGCTATCTGCACCGATAGTCCCATTAGTTTATAGCATTGCTAATGACATTGAGTTTGCTATGTGTAACACATTCTTACCATGTATTGCAAGGTGGCAGCCAATCCCAGTGCATGGCAAGCTGATCAGCATCTGAAGGGGGTGAATTAATGTTTCAGATGGGTCCGTTCATCAGAACATGATTGACCATCCCAAAGATGTTCGTTCATTCTTTCTTTCTTTCTTTCTTTCTTTCTAAGAGTTGGACAAGGTTGCCAGTTGTGAAGGGCTACTTTTTCAGAATAATCTTTTGACCTTGACTGCTTGATGTTGAAAGCTGTAGTGGGATAGCAGAGTGGTTCATATCCTGGAAGGAGGAAGTCAAATGGAGACCTTCATTTGAATCTATGCTTTGACTCAAATATTAAACTTTGTTTTGGATGCTCCTGCCTGGATGCACATTCTTTATTTCAAATTTTTAAATACTTCTGCATTTTCCATTTGCTTTAAAACTCCTGGTTAAAATTATCAGAAGTTTCTTGTTTCTGGTGTTGTCTAAACCTGTTTCCTGCACCACTGCTTTCTGATGTACTGCTGGCACAAAGCAATGACATGTTCCAAAGGCAAAACCAGATCTGTGGCTGTTTTATTTTGGAGAATCTTCTAATATTCTTGAACCAGTTAGAATCCTTTTTTAGTTTTACTTTGTAATTTAAACTTTTGTAAAAAAGTTATAAATACTGCAGGAAAGTGTCCCCAAATTAAAATTCTGTACTGAGCAGATCATTTCTTGTAATCAGATGCTTTAAGAATTGACAAACTGGCTGCAGTTGTGCCTGGATCATTAGATTAGCTGAGATAGTATTGTGCATGAACAGCACAAAACATACTGCTGTTGGAGTGGACAGAGTGTGAGAACAGCTCAAGGTCTAAATAAATTAACCTTTCCCTTGTTTCGGGTGGTCAGTGTATATTTTTCTTTTGAGGTCAGCGTGTGACATCAGACCCTAAATTTCATCAGGGTTGGCTGGGAAGTATGGTAGTTCAGATCATAGTTTTTTAACCTGCTTCAGCTAAATGATTCATTTAATGTTCATTTTCCCTTTCTGTCATCCTGCTGCCTTATTAAACTTGTCCCATTTTATTATTTCAGGAATGTGCTGTTGTTTGTTCTACTGTTAATAATTGCTGTTGAGGAGCGCAGTAACTGTAAAATGAATATTGTATTTGAACATGTCTTTTACTGGCTTGAGTGGAACATGGGCCTTAAACATCTAATCTTAATGTTCATAAACTTCCACTTTTGGACACTTTTTGTTTAAATTTGTTCATTGAACTGGTTTTGGAATTCTCTTTGTGCATAAGATCAGTAAATTTCAGATTTTTTTTTTTTTTTTTTGCAGGGTTCTAACCAGTCTTAGACCATGTTTATAAATTGTGTTCCACTTGAGTGAAGGATTCCTATTTGTTCTTTTTTTTTCATATTGGAGAATGCACTATGAAGGAGGGAGTCTCAGCATCAGGATCCAATGTCAAATAGTATTCTTTTTACAATCTTTCCCTCCTCCTGGGCTGAAAATACTTATTATTAAACACAGTATGTGTTGTGGACACCCTTTCTCAGTACCATACCCAGAGGGACGTTCTTCTCATGATTTTGGATGGAATTGAGTGCCAGACTACTGAACTGTAAAGGGCACAGTGTAGCCTGATCCTGTCCTCGCAAGGCATTTAGGCAGAAACATTTCCTGGCAGGATTTGCTTATCAGGACTGGGAACTCCTGGAATTCTATACAAATACCTTTTATGGCCAGATTTCCAGGGCCCTCTTATTGCGTCATCTGTGATTGGCTAAGGCAGCACAGCCCTTGTTACACCC